TAGGGCCATTTCACGAGTGTGTTGCCTTGGGTTAGACTCAACAAGTATCTTCAGAGCATCAATATCAATTCCAACATGTCTGCACCTTCCATTACCTGCTAAAGTCACCTGAACAAAATTTGCCGAATGATCGTTGACACTTAAGAAAGTTCAAAACAATTCCATAAACTTCTTTGATAAACTTTGTGGCTACAGAAGCATTGTTTCCCTTCCTGTATTCAAACAGCATTACATGCAAATTATGTGTCTCCTCGTGCGCCATCACTATTAAGAGTATACTAAACTTTACACATTATATAGGCTACACTAACGTGATGTTTAGGTGGTTCATTTACCTATTATACATGATGTACATTTATTGGGGGTGGTTAATGAAAGTGTTCCAAAATGTGACATTAATTTCTTGACAACATAATATCTTGAATCCACAAAGTAAAATAATTGGTGTTTACTAATGCACTGTGGTGTTCCTGCAATTAAATTGTGCTCAATTAAGGTTATTCCATTTACATTATGTTCTAGAATGGAACTTGAGGAACCTCCTAGTGTGAAAACTGCAGCTAGTGTGTTTCGTGAGTTTTGCTATAGTTACCGTGATTCATTAACAGCAGGAATTATATGTGCAGGATGGGATAAACGGGATGGAGGTCAGGTAATGAAAACTGAAAAGATTTTATAATATCAACCTTTTCTTTAAACATAATCTCTTTATTAAGAGTAATTGTTCAGTATCATAATAAAGTACATTGAGGAATAGGAATTTTATTGAAATACTTATTTAATAGGTTAGTTTTTCCAAGATTACAAGTTATATATAATTTGTTTTTCGTATTACCTTAGAAGAAACAAGCGGCTGCTATTATGTTTAATATTAGTCTACTATAATAACAAAAAAAGTTACAGGTTTAAATATGTTAAACACTTCTGATACAGGTATACTGTATTCCACTTGGAGGTATGCTGGTTCGACAGCCCTTTACAATAGGGGGCTCTGGGAGTACCTATGTCTATGGATTTGTTGATGCAAACTATAAACCAGATTTTGACAAAGAAGCCTGTGTGAACTTTGTTTCAAATAGTAAGAATATTTTCAATAATACTTTACAGTTTTTACTTGTTGTTAGACACTATATTTAAATAAACTACCAGAAAGTTTTAAAACTATTCCAAATGCTTTAGAAGTTTGGCCATGCATTTCAAAAATTAATGTTTTTTTCAGTTATGTATTGTCAGAAAAAACATGTATAACCTTAAAAACTAAATACATATTATAAGAAAGTGTTTTGTTAAGTTTAATTCTGGATATTATTTAAACTTTTAATGGGAAGTAACCGTTACATTTATTAATTGGTCTATATTCCCAATAGGCATAATAAGTCTTTTTATCTTATCCTGTCTTTCAGCTCTGGCACTAGCCATGTCTCGAGATGGATCAAGTGGTGGAGTAATAAGACTAGGGATTATTACAAAGGATGGCATAGAAAGACGGGTCATTAAAGGGAAAGAAGTACCCAGGTTCTTTGAAGGATAAGTCAGTGAAGTTGAAAATAGAAGTTGCTTCTTCAATTAATATTGTATTCCCTTTCAAAACAATAAAAGACTAATAAATTTTATTAAACCTTTCTGGGAAATAATTTTACATTCATGATAGTTTACATAATATGAATATCCACTACCAGTATAGTTAAGTGTCAGTGAAACAGCAAACAGGGCACCTTCCTGGATTTATCACTCCACTGAATGTTCTGAAACATGAATGAAATTAAGTATTAAATAAAAATTCTCTTTTCAAATGTTCTCCCTATATTTTACATAATATTTAAAATATTGCTCCAAGTGACATTTAGAGTATTTTTTTATACTCTGGGTAATTACTGGATGTTGCAAAGTTTTAATTATTCAGCTTTTGTACAAACACACCTATCAAGTTGTATAATGAATAACTTTCTGAAATGTATTTCAAACTTGTTCCATTTATATGTCTCTTTTTATGCATTTTATCAAATAAGTATCATGAAATCTTTTTTGGGGTAAACAAAATTACATACATTCCAAAAAGATATTAAGTGAAAAAACTACATCTATGTCCACTAGACCTGTATTCTCAGCATCAGTGGTACTACATTTTTCTGTGTGTTGATTGTGGAGTTTCTTTCTCAGTCTCTGCTCTAAACCTTGTTGGTAACACTGATTATGGTCTTTTTTAATTGGATCACAGTAAGTGTTCTTTCAAAAAATAAATTTCTTAGTAGTTTACTACTTGTATAATTCAGTATACACTAAATAAACTTAGTTATTTGTTTATCTTATCTTGGTAATGAATCTATTAATGTAAGAAACAAGCTTGAAAATATTGCTCATACTTTTTCCCACAGATTCTTGTTCGTAGAAGTGGTTTTAGGCTGAAAATGTTTTAAATTTCAAAGACAATATCTCCAAACTATGGAATTTTGGTGCAGTTTATTCTTTCACCTGGAACTATTGTAAAAGTTCATATTCTGAAAGCACAACCTGTCATTTGAAAGAATGCATCTTTAAACATTCCCAATATCTCACATGTGCAGTGCACTGTCAGGTCACAAGAGAATATAATGCACCTGTTTGAGCTAGTCATTTCATTTTTGTATATAGATCAGAGACTAACAATTAACTCAGAATAAAAAAGAACACCACAGTCAACAAAATTGAAAATGTAGTGCCGTTGATGTTGAAAACCTAGACCTCCTAGCCTATTGGACAAATAAGTTGTTTTTGACTTTTGGGTACAAAAAAGGGTTACATACACTTAATATTTTCTAACTTGGTCATTAATCATTAAATATAAACAGTTACAATACTTTTCAATTATTCAACTGCTGGACTCGTGATATAACACTTATGCCATATAGTTATAAAATCATAAAAAGTTTATTATGAGCTTTAAATTTTATATACAAATCAACAGTTTTATTCTAGAATAGCAGTCTGTCTGTACTTAGGTATAGTTCACTAAGAAATAAAATGTATATAACACTCACCCGAATTAGAGCTAAGGATTTTGGGTTTAAGTCACTTTTTTTCTTGTTAAATTGTGGATATTTATTCAAGGAAATCCTTTTTCCAGGAAGAGTAATTCTGAAAGAATAATATATATTGGCTTGAAAAAAATCAATGCCCACTAATCACTGGCAAACTGCTAATCCAACTGTCACCAAATTTTGCATAATCTCTTAAGAGCTCCCTATGCATTGAATTGGTATGTCTGCTAGTACTGAATGTAAAGGACCCAATTAAATACCAGTTTTCTGACTTAGACACGTGTGTGTCTATATATAATACATAAAATATTGAAATAATAAATTTTAGAAATACTTTAATGACTTAATTACTTTATACAGTGGTAATCCCTATTCTTACTAGTAACACTGCTAGTTGACTCTACCTCACAATGAAACTGACTCATGACACCAAGGGTTCACACAGTTGAGTATAACTAGAACTGCTAGTGGCTGAATTTGAAAAAAAAGTCTTTTGAACAAGTGAAATTAATAACCAACTCAGTAAGAATATCTCAGACTGAAATATCCATAAATTTTTTTTATAATAGTTGGCTCAGTAGAAAAATATAATATTAATCAATTAAACAGAAAAAGAGTTGAAAGATAGCATAAGTATATCGTAGTTAGTATCATTCTGAAGTTAAGTTATATCAGATACTGATTCTTCCTACACTACAGAAACATACTTGATTTGATGAGGGGTCTTCTTGTTGACTTCTGCTTTTGTGAGGTTGCATATGGAACACATGCTTTGACCCTGATTGTTACAGTGAACAGGCACATGGAACAATCTTTCGTTAGTCTTGTATTCATGTATACCTGTATTAAATGTTCTTTACTGAGTTTTATTATTATATCATCTGAGTCAATACGATCAAATTATAGGAAGTTTTTATTGGTATTATGAGTAGATAGCAGGAAAAAAACTCACATAAAAACGTAACTTTCATGACATTAAAATTTTAATTATTATTTATAACTCAAGAGAAGCCATATGCATAAGCACAAAGTATGTTTCACTGTCACCAGTATTTATCTTAAATAAAAACAATTCTCAGCTATGTAGGTACACATACTGACAATACATAGAGAATGACAATTTTACATAAATATTTAACAACCCATCCCAGAAAACACATCCTGTCATACATAAGAACACTTTTCTTGATAATGGTAAAAGGGATGTCTCAATTTGGATCTTAAATTATTAGTTGTATCACTGCTGTAAAAGCAAAGGCTGAAAGTTTTTGCTCAGACATGGAAAACTGAAGAAACTTTGTAAATATTGACTTAGTTTAAGAATAAACCTCCATTATTTTGTGAATATTAACTCTTTTCAGCATAGGCTCATTCCCTGGGACTGACCTCGTAACCATTTTTTGCTTATAGTTTTCATGCTATAACTTTTAAATTAGTAAGCGAATGTTAATGAAATTTGACAGATTATCAGTAAACATTACAAAGCTTTCATATGTAAAATATAAATTTTTTATTAAGTCTTAAGGTTTGTAAAGCAATGATTTTTCATGCCTATTTTTCTTTTCACATGTTGCCTATCTATCATGCAAAGTAATATTTATTTTAAGATTAAAAATACTTTTATGCTGCAAAAACTTTTGAAATTTAAAATGCAAAATTTTTATAATGTCCAGATAGTTATCAAATGTTTCTTATCTGTTATTTTCAGTAATTAATCTCTGTACGGATTCGGTAGATTTGACCGATCTGGCAACCACCATAACAAATTAGGAAATATATATAAATTTTGCCCCTCTCATTCTAGAATGAAATAAATATTTAGACTAAACAGCTTAAATCTCATAACATCATACATTTTTATTGTATTGACCATTCAGCCATGCTTGGCTAACAATACAGAAATTACAATGACGTGGCTCACATGCACTCATGTTACCGAATCAAATAAAATAAAACTGACCTTTGGTCTGTACAAAGTGACCTGTCTTGGCTGTATTTTAGTAGACTACTATTTTGTAAAATACAGTCACATTTCGATTATTATACATTATATATGTATGTAGATTATTACTATTTTGAAATAAGTTCCTAAACTTATTTTTTTAAAACATAGAACAGTAAATAAGGAAGAAAAGCAAACAATTATCTTTTCTAGTTACGACCTTTGTACTCCGTTGTTGAGCCACATGGAGGATATGAAACAAAATATTTTTTAGGTTTTATATATACATTTGAATAACTAAAAAATCATAAGTTACTACATTAATACCATAGAATTCCACTAAAATTTATCAAGTTTAGTAACTAAGATGTATTTTAGTCTTAAAAAATATGAAATTTTGAGCAGACTGAAGACACACCCTACCTCGTTGAAATATTGGTTCAAAAGAAAGAAATAGTGCCAAGACCGTTAAAATTGCTGAGAGAGCCACTAGGGGACATTCTGAGTTTCTGATTGGTTATTCATGTTATATATAGAAGTAAGTGTTTATAAGGAGCATTTCACAAAATGGAAAGAGGTGGGCAGGGTGTCACTTTGTTTGATTTATTACATGAGCAATATCTTAGCAAATTGAAAATATAAGAGGCTCTTATTTTTTATTCTAGCTTGTCAATATTGGTAATTTGAGTTTCTAATTCGTATGAAACTACAAACTTAGTATTTTGACTTCACAAACATCTAATTTGAACCAGTGCTGCATTCAACATACCACGTGTCACATAAAAATTGATGTTTATCTGTTTTTTTTATATTTGCTTTTCAATTAAGAAACTGAGTAATATATGCTACTAAAATTTGAATTACAATTACAATTTGATATCAAACTTATTGACATATTCAATAAAATTTTGAATGCAAGTCAACAAACAAGATGGCATGGCCTTCCAACAGTGACTCGTCTCAAAAGGGTTAAAAATGCTGTTTTATTTTACAGAAAATAGTATATTTCCTAATACAACTTAATATTATACTTAAAAGCTCACATACAGTTTTAAACTTAAACTGGTGAAGCAAACTTTTATGCTATAACGATGGCAGGTTTAGAGCTAGCCAATTAACACAATAATCAATTCTTTTTAAATTGTCAATTAACTTCCTGACAATAATGAATTATTTAAAATTAGTGTGTCTGTCTTGTATTATTCCAACTATCCTCATAATTGAAATATTGTCATTATTATTTTTCATTAATTTAAGTTTGTTAAACCTAATCAGTGTTTGTCAGGACTCATAAAATAAGTGGCAAATCATCATTTTTGCCAATTCAACATTAGAAATGTATGGCTCCTTCTATACTGGAATATTGTTGTTTAAAAAATAACTAATCTTGCACACTTGATAATCTTACCGTTCTAAATGTACCTAAAGTGTCCACATGTTTGATCGTCTCAGTATAGTTGTTTGTATAAAATTGTGAACTCATTCCCCTAACTAAACATACATAACTTAAGTTAATCTGTACTTAATAGTAATCTCACTAGTTCCTGTTACATCCAGTATTTTTATAATCCATGTCAAGAACAATCAGTAATCTTGTGAAAACATGTAAGGAAAAATACACAGAATAGTATTAATTGTATTTTAAGCTTGTTGCAAGGTTTCTATTATGTTGCATATATAATAAATTTCATGTACAATAATTTAAGTTTAAAAAGAAAGTAACTTAATTCTAAATTGTTATACATGAAGATGTCTATCAGATTAAACAAAGAGTAATTCAAAAAACATGCAGAAAATAGGAAGATTAGTCTCATGTGAGAATAAGGGATTAACTAAATTTTATCAATTAATTAATTCCACTAATTATCCATCTCTAGTACTACAAAATGACATTAAGAATTCTCAACTTACATTGATGATTTCCTAAATTTTCTTTGGTAGGTGTAAAATCATCATCACTGTATAAAAAGTTAAAAATTCAAAAACAGAGGGTCTAATATTCTTTCAATATACAATAATAATACTAGGATCTTAAATCAGTATCCTATGTTTTTAGTACTTTATTTTCAATTAAAAATATAAATATTTAAAATGAAGGGAGAAATACATTTTTCAGTAATATTCCAATTCAAATTAACACTGTCTTATACATATGGTGAACAGTGGTGTCTGTCTGACTGTCCATCTGTCTCCCATTTGAACAGCTGTGCACGCATGCAAAGCTCAACATTCACTTTTGGTATGACAGGAAAACAGGCATGAATAATGTTGATGACAAATTTTATTTCACAAGCAGGATATTATACATTAAATTGTTATCAATTAATCACACTGTCATTCACATTTCAAAATGTGATGTAACTCAAAGAATAAAAATGTAGATTTACTGTATGTTATTGTTGTGACTCTTATCATGACTGAAATGCTCAACAATTACTTTTCGGGGTGGATGGTATAAGTAGCTTAGAGCTTTGGCTCTGAATGAAACCAAGACTGCAGCACCATTAACCTTTTTAAAGTCAGTGAAATAATTTAAATTGATAGATTAACTTAAACTTTTCCCATCACTAGGGAGGGGTACTTTTACTAGATTAACTTTTCCCATCAGTGGGGACGGGTACTGTTGTGTGTTCAATAATATTTTATAAAACTACAAAAATTAATAAAAAGCTTGATTGCTTTGAAAAAAATGGTCTCTCTTCTTTCATTCTAAAGAAGAAAAGAACTTTCTCAAAAGCACTTGACATTTTTAGTCAATTTTTTACTTTAGTAATCATTTTAGTAGTGATTCTCGGTTACCTTTCTGTTTTTTAACAACAGATCAGTTCAGAATAATTCAATCTATGATTTACACCATCATTACAAAATTTTTAAAAGTAGATGGTACACAAATCATCTCTTAAATATTCAGATATGAAAATAAATGTCTACTTTAGTTTATTGAATATCTCTCACACATACATTATCTATTTTAAATAGGACTGACAGAAGAATACATGATTTTTCACAAACTAGGGATAAAAGTTATTTATTTTTTTTTAGTTTAACAAGAAATGTAAACATTAATGTTTAAAAATAATTAACAATTATTGCACCAAGATGCAAAACACTACCCTAGAAATCTAATTTACTGAGTTAGGAGATGACACACAGTAATAAACATTTTTATGATGTATATATTTGCCAGTGTAATGAACCTTCACACACAGACACAAAAACAGAAAATGGTGGCAGTGAGAATAAATAATCACTACACTTTTTGCTGTTATCCACAACATAAAGCAATTAAACTGTGTTTTAAAACAAAGGTATTTTGACATGTCATATCAGTCATGAACAATTTAAATAGCACTGTGTTCAAGAAGAAAGTCTAAAAAAACCCTCACCTTATTGTTTCTGAACCTGTACACTCTGAAAGATTTGCTTGTCGAAATGCTCTCAATTCATTGTAGTACTGATCAGATTTATTCAGAACTTCTGGAGGTATTTTTTCTATATCTGTTAATTGTTTTGTAGCAGGAGATCTTGATACATCAAATGGGGTAAATCTCTGTAAAAACACTTGCTCATTACATACACATATAAGAAACTTTGTTTGGGTGTGTGTGTGTGTGTGTGCATGTTCATACATCCACCTTTACAATCTTTCATTGGAAAAACGTAATTAATACTTTCCAGCCTTATTAGCTTTAGCAATATTTCTTTTCCTGATATTGCTACAAGCTTAAGCTTTCAGCTGGTCTGATACATTTTTTTATCTAATTTTATTTTACAAATAATGTCTTCACTGAGTGAGTCCCAAAATAATTCTACTATTTTATTAAACATCTATGCAGATATAATTATTTTGAATTAATAAATACCAAAATTACCCGATGAAAATGTAAGCTATATAGTATACACTTTTGAATAAATTGTCTTTTATAAGTAAAGAATTCCCCTACCTGTGTTCTCAGTTACTTTTATTAAACATATTTGATCCAAATACTTTTTTTTCAATATAATGTAGTCTGAATGTCCACTCTTTAGGTTTTATTCACAACTTAAGATATGACGTGTTTCATATTTAAATATATATGGTATTAGAAAATTTTAAATGACACATATTTAGTTTATTGTGTGATTAAAACTGTTAAACTTTAAAGCAAGTATTTTTAAAATAGTTACCAGATTTGCCAGTGTATAAGACAATCCTGGATTTTTTTAGCAAATTCAGTGTAATTCTTTGAGGTTTGGTGTATAGAATGACATCTGTTGTCAAGGAAGTCTAGGATGTTACTTTTGTAAGGAAATTCTTAGAAGCCATTTTTAAACTGTGCTAACCTGCTCTCTGAGGTAATCAATACAACCACAAGTGTGGTTTTTTATGCTCTTTAAATGCTACAGACAGCTCAATGCATCTGTTACGTCTCCGTTTGTTAATTAACTTTCCGTAACTTCGTTCCGACG